GAGACACAACCAACACTCTCCCCCCTGTCCCCCGCCCCATGGGCCAGTGCCCTGTTCCCTCCGTGCCACCAAACCAGTCTCTCCCCACCCTGTTTCTCCCTCCACCCATGCCCCCTCCCCCTCTTCACTTCCGACTCTCATGTACCTCCCCGTGTGTGTGGGCTATCCCCAATTCTGTTTTATTATCAGAGAGGGAAAGTCAATGAGTCTCTGTATTTATATGAAAATATATTCCTTTATGGGGTTCAATTAATTCATAAATACGTTGGACCCATGACAGATATAGGGCTCTACCTGAATATAAAGCTTATCTTTGATATTCACTTCAAAGCACCAACCTCAGGAATCCTAATTACCTTACTTTTTCTCTCTGTGATGGAAAGTTTTGGCTACCTGTCTGCTACCCAGATTTGCTGATGTTCTACTTTTAGCTTTCCTCCTTAGATGTCCCCTGTATTCCCCACCCCCTTAGACCAAAGGCTTCAGCCAGTTAGTGTGAGATGCATAGTCTCAGCAGAATTACTACTGAGAAATCACATTTGCATATTTGAAGCATTATCTCCTGAAGGTAGTACCCATCTTTGCCATCTCACCTATTTTTCCTGAATGATCTCCTAAGTAAGAAGGAACAGAGATAAAGTAGCTGTTCAACCTTCTCGTGTCCTTCAAATTGCACCATGTCGTGGTGTCATATAATTCGGTAACACACAGGGTCCGTTATAGTCGTAAAACAGTGGAATTCTCACATAAACACATTCAGACTCAATTTATCTCTTGGAAGGTCACTGGTGAGCCATATTTAGGATTTACATAAGGAAATTGACTGAGGTCAAGCTAATACTTTAAAAGGTCGCTCATAAAATTGAGGCGATAGCCTGCACAATTCTTAATACTGATTTTACTGTGGTTCAAGGAAGTAATTTCCAAATGTGTGTGGTGTCCTATCTCTCTATGGTTCGATTTTTGTTGCTCTCTGGTAAAAATGTCAAAGTATTCTTCATTGGAAAAATGTCTTTTATGCTATTGCTATTTTTGCTTTCTTTTTTGGTAAGATAAAAATGCCCTTTCTCATATAAAATGGCAGTCAGAATAGATAGTGGAGTTATTTACTCACCTTGATTAGAAAATTAGGACATTGCTAAGGTTCTAAGGGTGTGTCCTTTGTCTCTCCCTCAACCTGTTCTATATTCAAATGAGCCATTCACCGAGCTCTTCAAAAAATAAAAAAAATCATGAATAGCATCAGTGGTTAAATTGTGAACACCTGGTCTGCAGACTACAGGGGAAGCCCAAACTCCATTTGCAGGGTCCACCTATAGATTAATCCGCGGTAAATCCCATCTGACCATAGTCAAGGTATATGGATAGCCTTGTAATGACACAGAGAACGTTGTAAGATGATTATGGTAGATATAGTTATGTTAAACTGTGAAATATTATTTGATCTCCTGTTTAACCCATTTAAAAGTTGTTTCTGTTTGATAAAATATTTTTTTAAAAGACTATTCAGTAACAACTTATTTTTCTATAAAATTCATTATTCTTTCTTTCTAATCTAAACATCTCTCTTGTTTAGGCAAATTGCATTTATTTGAGTATCATACAATTAATTGATACATTAAATATACATTGGGACTTGATCATTTGTCAACATAATCTCACCCATACGAGATGCTGTAGAACAGAAATTTAGTTAATTTTCTTTAAATTTTAGTTTTCTAAATGTTCTCATTTTAGCCATATGGTTCAACTTAATACAACGATACAATTACCTACCTTTTATTATAAATTAGTCAAGCCCCAAATATGTTATATGCTTTGGGCAATAGTATTTTAATAGAAAATACTGAATGAGGGTTTTTTTTTAAAGTGGCTTTCATAATATTATATTTTAAAACAATTGAAAGAAACAATTAAAAAAGCAACATAGAAACACCTGGGATGGCACAATGTAGAAACACAACCATGAAACGTGTTTCGATGGCACATGAAACGTATGTCCTGGGCTGCAACTAAGAAATGTTGAGCTACACGCTGGGCTGCTTACCACACGGTTGGCATTTCAAAACCACCAGCCACTTCAAGGGAGAAATATGAGGCTCTCGATGCTGTCAAGAGGTACAGTCCCAGAGCCGGTAGGGGCAGTTCTACCTTATCCTATAGAGTTGCGATGAGTCAGAAATAATTTGATGGCAGTGAGATTTCATGAGATTTAATAGTTTGAGTATCACCTTATATATCTGAACTCATTTTTTTAATTTGTGAACTAAGAATATTGGAAAATTTTAAGAATGGTTTACTTACAAACACCTACAGTTTGTATCAAATGGTTTAAAATCTGAAAATGTATGTGCCAG